TCCTGAAGCTTTAGCGATTTAGCTTTGGAGGTCAGGAAATGCCTTGTCCTCCCACCAAAGAAAATAATGTTGCTGCCAGATGTACTTTGAATTTAGTCCAGCATCCTGTAATGAGAAAGCGTTAAGCCACTCATCTAGGGTGATACGGTATACTTTGCATAGGTGCAAGCCTAGTGCTTGTTCCTTGCCTGCCATACTGATTCTTGAACCCACATCTGACAGGCTGTTTCTTGCAAGAATCACAAGACTTTACAGGATAGGTGAATGTGTTTCCTTTACTGGGATCATGTAGGTGTATCTGTTCTAATTACTTTCTGTCTGCTCCAAGTGTTTTGGATGTTGTGACATCAGTCTTGCCCACAATACATAGTTTGGTCAAAAGATTGGAATGCTTTTAGGATTTTTAGCCCTGTTCTAGAAGAAACTCAGTTTTAGAAAATCAGACTGGATGATTTAAGACCAAACAATTTTAAACTATTAGGAATTCTCTGATTAATGAGATCTTAAAAATACAGTTGTCTAGAAATATATGGAATAATCCCTCTTGCTTGGGCTATAATATGTGCTAAAAATGGCACAGTTGACAACGTAGATAAAATTAAATAACAAATCTCTAACTGGCTGTTCCTGTTTTTATTGGTTATTTGTGGTTATGGTATACTATTTATGTTGTATTAACCTGACGGTCAAGCTCCAGATGCAGAGGTAGTTAACTGTAACTCAAGGCAAACTTGATGGCTTTACGAAGTTCAAGTAAAATCAGCTAAATATGTCACAAATACTTGCAGCAGAGGAGATCAAAAGAGGGTGAGAAAAAATCAGACAAGAAAAAGCATGATGGAGAGGACTCTTCTGTCAGAATTGCGAACAGGACTTCGTTCCAGACCTCTGCATGCAGCAGAGATTCCGTGAAGCCAGGTACAAATGTGGTGTTTGGTTAGAAATACATCAAATAGATGTCAAATGGTTGACTGTGCTATAGCCTCCAGTTTGTGACCATGTTTCTAATCTAGAATAATTAAGGAACGGTATTTCTTTCCTGTGTGACTTCTTGACAAGGGATGGTGACTTACTTCTTTTTGCCGATTGAACAAATTCATGTAAACTGATAGGAAAAGTTTCCTAAGCAAGCATCTGAATTTACAGTTGCTTGTTGAGTCAGTGTTGTGTATACACATTGGTTATAATTGCTAGGTTGTTTTTTTAATATGAGCGATGTGTAGCAATAGTTCCTGTGACAACTACTGTAGTTATGTCAACTAGTGTACTATAAAACATACCTAAAAATGATCACAAGCAAGTTTAACTATTTAGACTTTACATGCTTTATTCAGACAGGTTCAATAAAACTACAACCAAGAAGTCAACTCGAACTCCAAAAACAGAGTCTCCTTCTGTACCCACATTTGAAGCTACCATTCTGGATTTCCACAAGTCACAGAGTTTGGGAAGCAGTGAGATATTGAATGTACAGCATAAAAGCGGACCAATATGTTCAGCGGAAAGTAACATTACGTGCCTTAGTCAACCACAGATGTCTCTTTTGTTGAACACAGAGGTTAGCTGTTGCTTTCATGTTGCAGAACTCCTAAAATTAAAACTTTGTCTAAAGTTCAAGCATTTCTGAATGCAAGTATTTTGCATTTCATGTGGTAGTTTAAGACCTCTTTAAGTACGTTGCAAGCAAGGAGTTTCATAGCTAGAGGTTTTATGGTTCTTTTTGTAGATGGTGGTGTCAGTGCTTGCTGTCTCCTCTTTTACCCTTTCTCACTATTCTTTCCTTGTCTGTGTTGCCAGCAGATAGGGGAAAGCCCGGTACTGTTAGAATGTAGATTGGTACTGCTATGGTCTAGACTTATGTGCTCTGTATAGGCAAGCTACATGTTCCTGAGGTTTCTTAATAGCTTCTTGTTTTCTCTCTCGCCTGGAAATAATAGGTAAGAAGTCACTTATCCAATAGTTTTAACAGATTAAAAAAAAACACCTCTGGAATATTGTACTTAATTGCTTTGTGCTAAAGGATAAAAATAAGAAACTGAATTCCAGAAGGACGAAAAATATTGTTAAGATGTAAGCATTTAACTCTATTCTTCTTGATTTCCTTGGTTCCGTCTTCCTTAGTAAATACAATACTGACGTATTCAGCAGTATGTCACATATATTGATTCAGAGTTTTCAACAGTGATTAAAGGTGAATAATTCTGAAGGATCCAAACAGTATAATACTTCCAGTGCCTCTCAGTGCAAAGCTGCCTGTGATGGAAAAAAGACCCTTCTGCTGTCACTTGAGTTTCTTTTTTCATTGCTAGTTTGAGTTTGATGATGGGCTTTGTTTTTTCTGTTCATTCTTAGAATCATCGTTTGGATGTTTTTGTAAAATGTAAGAAGGCATCATCTTACTTGTGTACAGCAGCGGAGAGGCATCTGCATATATTTTGTAATGCTATAGGGTCAAAATGATGGTTCCACTAAAAAAAGCAACAGAAAAAGTCAGGCTACAACAGAAAAAGTCAGGCTACAAAATTCACTACACCTTTATCTGTAGCATGGGTTGAGGATTTTTTTAATTTATGGGGTTTTTTTATGTTTAGCTCTGTTTAGGTCAGTGATTTTATTCCTACTTTTATGATACCTGACTCTGTATTTTACAGGAAGACAGTTCTGTGGAAAGCAAAGCTTCATCAAAAACTTCAGATGAAACAGTAGCCAGCTTAGTTCCCTCTTCATTTGATGGTAGAGGTAAGTGCTCCAGACAAATTATTTCCCCATATTGTAACTGCTTGCATCCCATCAATTTGGAAAACTCAAGTATTCTGAGGAGTTGTTGATGTGTAAAGCAAAAAAGGAATTAAACAACAAGCTCATTACAAAAGAAAAAACCCAAACAAATATAGCCGTATTAGTTTCTTTCAAATGAGATGACCACTTACAGCTCATTCTTGCTTATGATCAGCAGATCAAAACTGGGATTATCTTCTTTCTCTGTTGTTTCATTGATGCTCAAGGGCAAATATTGCTGTAGTTGCCTCCCATGTTGTTTAAGAGGAGAGAAAGTAATGCATATTGATTATTGGAAGTCTGTTGAGTAATTTTCAGATTTTTTTCAAGAATAAATGAGACGTAAATATTTCATCAGTCTTGATAAGCAGGTTTGTTTTAAATAGCTTTCAGTCTAGAGTCTATTATGCACCTTAAATTCTGTGGCATATGTTATTTCTGTCAAGTCTGTCAAACAAAGATAGATAGCTGTGTAGAACTGTGATGGTGAAATACCTACTTTTTTTTGTTGTGTTTACCTGTTGTCTGGTTGTGAGGATGCAGAATTATTTTTTTTTTAAATTGCCACAGACTGTCAAGTGGCTAGTTTCAAGTAAGTATTTAAATTACTTGAAACTTAAATAATTAATTTAATTATTATGAAATAATTGAATCCAGAGTTGTGTGAAAAAAGGTCCTGTTCCTGCTGACTTTGGTAAGGATTCAGAAAGGACATGTTAATCTGCTGAAGTGCCTTGAAGGGCCCTCTAAAGATAAAGTTATTCCAGAAACTTTACAGTCATCTGATAATGTTTTTTTTGCCCAAACACTATCCTCAGTTCCTATCCCCCAGAATACAGCAGCAGTTTGTGGTGGGTTGATGTTGGCTGGAGGCCAGACTCCCACCCAGCTGCTTTCTCACTCCCTCCTCAGCAGGACAGGAGGAGAAAGTAAGATAAAAAAACTTGTGGGTCAAGATAAGGACACAGAGATTACTCACCAGTCTCACATTATGGGCAAAGCAGACTTGACTTGGTGAAGATTAACTTGTTGCCAATTATACATAGGGAAGGGTGGTGAGAAACAACGACAAAACTAAAACCACTTCTTTCCCCTTCCCCCCTTCTTCCCAGGCTCATCTTTACTCCTTCAAGTAGCACAGGGGGATGGAGTTACGGTCAGTTCATAACAGCTCCTCTCTGCCGCTCCTTCCTCTGCAGGGGGACAGCCTGCTCCACCATGGTCTTCTCCAGGGGCTGCAGGCAAATCTCTGCTCCAGTGCCTGGAGCACCTCCTCCCCCTCCTTCTTCACTGACCTTGGTGTCTGCAGGGTTGTTTCTCTCATGTTTTTTTCTTACCCCTCCCTCTTACACAGTGTTTTTTACCCTGTCTTAAATATGTTATCACATAGGCGCCACCAGCGTTGGTGATGGGCTCAACTGTATCTGGCAGTGGGTCTGTTTTGGAGCCAGCTGGGGCTGGCGGTGTCTATCTTCAGACAGAGGCCACCCCTGCAGTCTTACCCCGCTACCAAAACCTTGCCATGTAAACCCTTTATGCTATTTAAATTGTTCAGTGAAAGTGTTCTTAAAGAAAAATTTAGATTTTGTTCTGTATTTCCTGTGCGTTAGGAATATTTACAAAATTCATTAAGTGTGAGTTCTTTCAAAACATTGATACATCTGAATGGTAGTGGGTGAAATTCTTGTACACCAAGGCACGTTAGGAAGTCTTTCAGCTGGTATATATGTCAGTAAAACTGGGAAGTTTTTAGAAAGTAGATAGTACTGATGTAGCCTTGTACATGAAAGCTGTATGACTGAGTGGGATAAACAGTAAAGGAATTTTGCATATAAATATAGCAGAATTTCATTATTTTAAAGAAAAATAGCTCAGAAAATGAGCATGGAATTATTTATATGTAGTTAGTATGACACAGTATAGATTTCCAGTTATAATTTAATTGGGCTAAATATATGTATATAGTGCTGGACAATATATATGGAGTAGTTACAATTCTAGAAAGCTTTCTGGAGAAATGAAGTGTGTGAGTGTATTATTGCAGTCCTTCCTCAGAAGGAATATTTGCTGTATTTGCTAGTCATTGATTAATTCATTACTGATCCTTTTTCTTTTGAATATTTAAGAAATATTTTTGAGACATTTTTATAATCACTTTTTTCCCAATGACATTTCCTGAAACACCTGCAGATGGCTCTGCTCAGCCATATGTGTCTTGGGCCATGGTGCTTTCACAGCCCCCAAAGAAAATTGTGTCATCACCGGCATCTGAAGGTCTTTGCAGAGGCAAAGGAAAGCAAGACAGTGAAGCAAAGGTACTTGAGAAATGTCTGCTCTAAACTTATTTCTGTCACTGTGTGATTGTGTCTCTTGGTGTGAGACATTGCTGTTTTTTTCCTAGGCTCTGTAGAGTGTCCACTTCTAATATAGCTTTTAAGAAGTAATATAAAATTACCTTGTCCTTATCAGAATTTTTCTTCTCTTGTAGTGGAAAAGAATAACAAGATGTCAAAAAGACAGTGATACTCCAGCAACATGAACTTGCAAAATAGCTGATTTGAATACATTACTTTTAGGCTGGACTTTTTTCAAATTCTTGACCCTCAGAACGAGATGTGCAACATGGAACTCTTTCCTAATTTGGGTGGATATTTCTTGTTGAAATCTCAGGAGTCCCAATACGCTCTGATAACCGTGCAATGTGTTTTAAATGAAGAGTTTTTACAGTAGCTCTGAATTTCGAAGAAGAATTTCCTTGTCCACTTAATGTCCTAGCCTGGATTGATTAAGATACCCTTTAGTTATATAAGTGTGGTCACTTGTATTTGTTTTGGTAGGTGGTATTGAAATAAATCAATTTCTAATGGTCACGCCTCATGATTTTTTTCAACAGTCAGAAACAAAAAATGACGCTAGTGAAACCGAGCCTGAAGAAGGGTCAGAAAAGAAGAAGAAAAAGAAGAAAAAGAAGAAAAAAACAAAGTCATCTACTGATGTAGAGAAACCTCAAAATGAATCTACTACAATACAGGAACCACCAAGGATTGAGGTACAGTGAAGAGGTTTTTGTTATTGTTCTTTTAAATGTTATGAGTGTATCGGAAGACCAGATGTTAACACAGCTTTGTACAAGTCAAGGTTCAAATCCCATTTGTAGAGGATATTGGTTCAAGTCCATTTCAGTTGAGATGTTTGTCAGAAATTACTGGTAGGGAACAGTTGTGCCTTTTGACTTATCACATATGCAGTGAGCCCAGAGGAGTTCAGAAGAGACTTAGGAGCAAATTTGGAATGATGCATCTGAGAGTCTGGGTGTTAACAGATAGCAATAAAAATCAAATTGCCTAAATTAAAAATACTCTGTTGTAACTGTTGCAGAAAGCAAAGTGCACAAGGGACAGGGAATATACTGGGTACCATAGTCTGTCACAATTTTAAAGAATGTGGTACTGGTATTACAGTTCTACCCATCTCACGTCTGGAAGCAATTTCTGTGGAACACAGTTGTCACTGCTTGCATTCCTGATGGCTAATTCAAGGGTTTTTTTCAAATTCATATAGCTGTAATATGCATATTAGTATTTTGATACTTTTGTGTGTCAGTATAATAAAGGCTTTAGACTCTCTCACATTAGAGAATTGTTGTATGGTCTGTGGTTTTAACAGTACTTTGTTGAAGGACCAATATTGCACAGCACTATGTACATGTGTTGATTTATATGTTTGCTTTAGAGTAGATAGTGTTCAGTCTGTGAAAGGACAGCATAAAGAAGCCTTACTGGCTGGCTTCTGTTCTGTATGTTTTAACACGGAACATGGAGCAGAACTGTGGCTACATGTTCTTTTCATTGTATGGTTCATTGTCCTGGAACAGCACAAGAAATGACAGCTTACAGACCTCTTTATTAGAGAATTATGGGTAGAATCAAAGATCTGCAGGTTCTTTCCCTCATGAGAACATCCCCATTTTTACTATATGCTACCATACAATGTCTGACCTCTGAATAACTTACCATCTAAACAGAAAGAGAATGGCAGGAGTCATGGAAAATAGTAGGAAGGTAATGGGACTATTGAAGACAAAAATGGAAAAAAATGGCATAGAATTATGGAACAGGACATACGCATTGCACTGAAATCTGTGATGTGGATGCAGCATCTGTTGTGGCAGTGGGGGACAGCTTTCAGACCCTCCTGATTTGCTGGGAATGCTTGCGTGCTCATCAGTTTGAAAAATGGGTGAGATGCTTGTATAATGCTCTTGAAATAGAAGAGCATGAAAAGATCATACACATGGAACTTCTGGGCACCCAGGAGATTTAAGAAGGTTCTGCTATGTGCAGCAGCTCACTGGAGCAATATATTGGATTGCATACTAGTTTTAAGTCACTCATTTACAGATGCTGTTAATGAGCATAAATGGATGCATTTGGGGAAAAGTAATCCTGTTCTTCATGATAGGCCCTGAGCTAGGTATTTTCCCTGACGGGAAAAAAAATTGAAGCTACTATTGATAATCAGGTCAGTGCTGGTAGTACTGGTCAAACATGCAAACAGTGCTCGGAATTATTAGGAAAATAGAAAAGAAAATGGATTATGACAACACATAAATCCAGGACATGTCCAATCTAAATATAGTGTGAATTTTGTTTTCTTGTGTTTCCCCCACTCCTTAAAAAATATACATACTTGAACTAAAAAAGATAGTCAAAAAGCTCCAAAAATAATCAAAGGTATGAAGAAATTTCTGTGGGAGGCAAGACTTGAATAAACTAGAACTTCTCAGTCTGTAAAATAGATGGCTAAGTGGGAATCAGAAGTGACATGGAAATAAAAAGGAGATGATTTGATCTTTCTCCTAATTTTGTTTGATGTTCTCTGGTTCTTATAGGTGATGAGTTAAGAGCAAATAGAAGGAAGTATATCGTCACACTGAGCGCTAGATTTTAATTATTCATTTTGCTACAGGATGTTGCAAATGCCATAAACTTATTTGAATTCAAGAAATGATTGGACAGACTGCAATAAAAATTTATTCTAGTGAAGGCTATTTAAATGCGAAGGTACTACCTCTGGTTCAAGAAGACCCTAAGCTGGAAGAGGGTGTTTGTGAAACATTTTTCTCTTTCTTGCAGTTGTCTTTTGGCATACTTCCAAGCTTCTTTAAAAATAGTTCATTAAGTGAGGTATGTCTGTCCTTATGCTAGAGCTTCCTAGCTTGAGCTGTGAAGTCTTTTGGGCTGCAGAAGTGTTGGTGTGTTCAGTAGTATTGTATCACAGCTAAAAAGGCCTCTCAGAAAGTGGGAGGAGAAGTAGCTGAATGAAAATCAAGCTGGTGGATCAGGATCATTATGATTGAGGTAGTGGATATAAGGTGACCAGTGTAAAGCAATCTCTAGCCCGTCTGCACTTAGTTAATCCAGAGTCTGGATAATGTATCCTCTGCTAATAAAATTTACTGTTGTGTCTAAGCCTACATAATCACTTGAGTGATTTATCTGTTTATTTCCATACTGTAGTCAAGAGTTATTACCCTTTTGTCTGCCCTTTTTGTTCTTCACCACTCACGTGTTTAAGGCAGAGTTGCACAGCTGGTGACTGTACTGGAAGAAGAGGGAAGTTGTTTGCAAGGCTGTTAAATGATCTGAAAAACACTCCTTTAGGAGCCATTTACCTCTAATTATTTGTATCAGCTGACAGCAATAACAAGCTGCTGTTGGCAGCATTTCTCTCCTAAGCTTTTTCAGCCCTGAATTAGCTGCCACGTAGATGACTTAACCATTGTAGTGCTGATTATAGTTGGTGGCACAGCACTTGGCTTCTGAATTTTTGTACAGTGAAACAAATTATGGTAAATGTTTGATAAGCAGGGAGAAAATCATTTGAACATAGGTAAACACAGTTTTGAGAATATGGTCTTGATAGTTCTTATAAAATCATCTTCTGATTTATTTGTTCAGGATGCTGAGGAGTTTCCTGATCTGGCAGCTGCTTCTGATAGGAGAAACAGACTAGGATCTCAGAAATCGTTATTTACTCCTGCTGTCAGAAAGCAGTCTGAAGTAAGTAATCTTACAATATTATGTAAATGTTGAGAAAATAAGCAGGAAAAAACTGCAAGTTTTAAATGAGACTAAAGGTAAAATTCTTTTGATTAAATGTAGGTGCTAATGATGTGGGGCTCTGCCCATGGCAATCCCCTTAGGTACTCTGTGGACAGTGAAGAGCTACTCACTATATTCAGTAGATTCATATCATTCCAAAGGACATACCTTTTTCATCTCTGAACTGCTGCATAAATTCTGGGCTACTAATTCTGATATAGACACCTCTTTTGTGGACACTCAAAGTTAGTTGAGATGAATGAATTCTGTTTATGTAGTTTATTTTCCTACAGGTAGTGTTCTGGTTTAATTTTGCATTTCATAAAAATAATACTACGACACTTAAAATTTCTGCCTTTGCTGTTTGTTCATATAATCAAATTTCAAGGGCATCTGAAAAGTGTAACATTCTGTTGTCAAGCTGTGCAAGGGTAAGAATTTGAGTGTAACATCAATTATAAATTCAAGCTATTTTTCTTATGTAAGTGAAATGAATCCCAAGAATTAATTTGGAAATCAATTTAATATGGGAATGAATCCCAAACATAAATCACAAGGATTGGAAATACGATTGTTCTTGCAAAGCAAATAACATAAATAGTAAAGGTGAAATTCCAGGTTCTGTTTCTTTGAAACTAGTTTTGCTGCTAATAATTTTTGTCGTTTGTTTTGTTTCACTGTGAATATAAATAGTGGTATACAAACAAACAGAAAACCCCAACAAAACAAAACACACAAAAACAAACTTTGCTTGCTCTGATGCAGTAAATGGCATTGACAGGGAGGAATGAGCAGGAAAAGGCACAGTAATTGCTCAAACCAGATTCCTTATAAAGAAAGTGCTATACATACTTGCACCTCAAATGAGACACCTTTTAGCTTTGTAGGCGTAAGTGGGATATAAGCTCTCAAAGCTTGCCCAAGTTGCAGAGACATGTGATCATTAAGCCACTCATACTCCTCTGTAACAAATATTTGAAGATGAAGATGCCTTGCTGTTTTTTTCTTCCAAATCTGAAAAAAGAAGGAAATAAGGAGTCTGAGTAGTATGGTAGCCAATAAATGATCATGCTTTTAGAAGGCCACGATAGGGTCTTCCCAGAGCCTTCTCTTCTCCGTGCTGAACAACCCCAACTCTCTTCACCTTTTATCGTAGGGGAGGTATTCCAGCCCTCTGGCCATTTTTGTGGCCCTCATCTGGACCTGCTGGACCAGGTCCATGTCTTTTTTGTGCTGGGGACCCCAGAACTGGATGCAGTACTGCAGGTGGGGTCTCACCAGAGTGGGGTAGAGGGGCAGAATCACCTCCCTCAACCTGCTGGCCACGCTTCTTTTTACACAGTCCAGGATAGAATTGGCTTTCTGTGCTGCCAGCGCACATTGCTGGCCCATGTCCAGTTTTTCATCCACCAGTATCCCCAAGTCCTTCTCTGCAGGGCTGCTCTTAATCCACTCATCCCCTAGTCTGTGTTGATATTGGGGATTATCCCAATCCAGGTCCAGAACCTTGCACTTGGCCTTGTTGAACTTAGGAGGTTTATGCAGGCCCATTCCTCAAGCCTGTCGAGGTTGCTCTGGATGGCATCCCTTCCCTGAAGCGTATCAACTATACTACTCGTATTGGTGTCATTCACAAACTTGCTGAGGGTGCACTCGATCCCACTGTCTATGTTCCATTTGAATTTAATGTTATCTTCACTTTACGCTTTCCCATGTGTCTTTAAATATTTTCCCTTCCTCCTTGTCACCTTTTGTCTCTAAATTTCAAAGATCCATCTCCCTGAAGAGCCTTGGGATAGTCGGTCTCCCACACTGGATGGAACTCCCAAGGTGGATGGACTTTCAGGGAAGCAAGCTTCCTCTTCTATATTAGAAAGAAAGAAAATGCAGGTAAATTAATTCATGTTTGAAAATAAGCTTACAACTCAAAATGATAAATGAAATTAGTATATTTAAATATAAGACTAAGTCCAAGCTCATCTGTGATTGTATTCATACTTTGTCATTCATCCTTTGAGATAAATGACAAGATCCTCTTGATTAGAAGCACTCAACGGTAGTTATTGCTAGCCTGCAGTTTGTGATACAGTGTTTAGGGAAAAATACTATCTTTTCATTTACGTCTGCGAGTTTCAGACATCAGGAATTGTTCTTTCACCAGTCTTATTTGATCATGGCATAAATCCAGTCCAAACTGATTGTCTTAAGCAGTTGGGAACCTCTTAAAAGTGGTTCTGCTAGGTTAAGACAAGGAGGCAAGGAGATGCAGTTAGCCTGGGGCAAGAAGAAGAAATATGGAGCAACAGTGAGGTCAGTGAGTAGTTCCATGTTGGTGAGTAGGTTCTGGCACAGCTCTGATGCAAGATGAGATCCTAGGCTCAGAAGGAGCAGGTCACATTCCTTAACCCTGTTGCAACAGAAGCTATAATGAATTGATCCTCCAGGGTAAGACTTCTAACAGCACAAAATCTGTGAGTCATTTCCTTAGCAGGTTCTGCTGTGTCGTTTGCTCTTTCTTAGTCCTTGCTAGACAATTTATTTGTAATCTTTTTCTATTCTGAATCATTAAATGTGGTGCCAAGTGTGGGACACCATTTTTGCCTTCTCTTCAAAGCAGACAAAGATTACTGCTTATGAGGAGATGATGCTTAAGGATAGTGACCTCCCTTTTTAATAAGGCATTGAAGGTCGTGATATACGTGTATTGCAATCACATACCCTGGAAGATTCACAGAGTAGTTTTTCTGTACTTCTAACAAAACTTTCAATTCTGGTAAGCCTTTTTCCTTTTTCAAAGATAGGTGGCAGTCTGACCAAAGTGGGAGTGCGACATAAAGCACCTCCTTTATTAAAGACTTTATACTTCTATGCTTTATTGCAGTAGCTATTGAAAAGTTATTTGAACTGTTTCTGACTTTTTTATTTTTCACATTAAAGTTGATGTGTATTTAAAGATCAAAATACTTTCATTGAATGAAGTTAAAAGCATCGTGGATGAAGATGTTGAGTGTATTACACACCATACAAAATACAGTCTTTACATTCTGAAATGGAGAGCATTACTGATTGGTACTGAACTTGTTCAGGAAACATCCAGGAGCAGTGGTAAGAAGAGTCAAATTCCTGTGCAATTGGATTTGGGTGGCATGCTGGCAGTCTTGGAGCAGAAGCAGCAAACAGAGAAGTCAAAACAGTCTTCTAAACCTGTGGTGTTTTCAGGTATTGGTTATGATGAAGTTTCCTTTCTTTCGACTTGAGTTGTTTTTAAGTATTCGAACGTCAAATGTAGCCTGATTTCTGATCTGTAATGATCTCTGAATATGCAGGCAGGAGAACAGTTTACAAGATACAGAGAGAAATGAAGGTTCTTGTAAAAAAAAAAAAATTAAAAGCGTGGCAATCTGAATTGTTTGGAGGAAGACTTGGGGAAAGAAAAATCTTCAGGACAATGATTTGTAAAAGAATACCTTATATAAATATGAGAGGTGATTGAAATTTAGCTCTTACAAAAATACTAATGTTTGTGGACGTTTTTGCTTTGTCTTAAATACGTGTGTTACTATTGTGATGTTATCCTGCAGGACGGGGCTACACAGTAGGAAAGGCTTGCTTAAAAGCTCCTCTGGTGCTAGAAATCCTAGAGCTGTAACTTGAGTGAAAAAGCTCCTTTCCAAACACAGGGGTTATATGAGTGTCAATCAGCCCAAGCCAAAGGATGAGTTCTGCTGTGCCTGATAATTGTGAAATAATTGCTGTTAACAAAATGCTAGGTTTTGGCGATGGAGAGAATCCTTCAGACCTTGGGGGTGCATAACCAGGAAGCAGAAACAAATAGCTCAATGTCTTTTTCATTGTAGGTCAAAATTTAGTCTTGGCTATGTTAGTGCAGTATTTTTTGCAAAAGAAAACATGATGTTTGCTAGAATTTAACGATGATAAAATTTCTCTCCTTATTTCAGTGAAGATTTTTTTAAAAAATTATTTCAGAGAGCTCATCAGGAGAGAATTCATCTCACAATGTTTAATATGATGGCTGAGCTTTTAAATGAAAAGTTCAAAATACCAAGCATCGATGAGATTTTCCTTCACTAAGTGAGAGAACTTGTAAGATGCTTTTTTAAATTCTTCTGCAATTGATCTCTTTTTTTCATTTGAGTCAGTCAAACTCAGTGCTGCAGTGCTAATAACCAGTTCTGTTTACATAAAATGACACAGTGCACAGATTGGTGAGTAGATGGTGGAGCACAAAGGTGTGGGTCACAGTACCTGTTTTCTAATATTAAATTGCCTGTGTCTGAATCTGCTGCAAAAGAGAAATTGATGTGTCATGTTCATATCCTGGAAGTAGAGGCTGATGTTACCTCAGCTTTGTACTTTTTTTTTAACATTCAGTGAACCCATTAAATTGGCATGTACCAAAATGTAACTTTAGTTTGTGAAGTGGGATTGTGCTGACCTCTGTAACCAGAAGAGAAGCACAGTGAACAAGAAGGGCAAGGAGTGTGACTGCAAAGTTATTTCATTCCACTTACTACTTCATTTGGTAAATAATGTATGGAGGGAACAGCATAGTAAAGCAGTGATTATCTGAACTTAAATTACATTTTGGAAATGCATCAATCGTGCAAAATGACACAAACTGTTAAAGACACTAAGTTCCAGTGAATTTCACATCAGTTTGAAATGAAGAGGTGATGTACACAGTGAAGGAAATATCATGTGTTTGTAGGATGTGTACTTATGTATTGCTTCAATTCTTGTTGCCACCTATGCTAACATACTGCACAACATTCTTGGCAGTGTTCTCAATTTGCCTTTGTTACACAGAGCCAAAAAAAGAAGTGGTGTAGCAGTTTTATGAAGTATACTGTTTATGCTAATAGTACTGTATGTGGTGTTGGAGGATCAGCATATAAATACCTTGGAAGCAGTAAATGAAGATGGCTTAAGACAAGCTGCCAGAAGCTTTGTGTGTTTTTTAGGGAAGAGAGGTTGCCTGAGGCACAAAGATGTCACGCTTATTCCACTGATACTTTTGTCATCATCTTCATTGACTTGCTAATGTAACCTGGTTTATATTGCAGGTAACTGAAGTTTGACAAAGTTGCTCTCACATGATACGGCAATTCCTACTGACAGCGAGTTGAAACGGGAGAGTACTTTTTAGAGGTTGAGGTCATGGTTTGGAAGGTCTGGGTTCAGTAACTTGGCCAGTCATTTAAAGCTGCTGTGCTCTAAACCTTCTGAAAAATGCAAGTAAAGTGGACACCTCCTGAGAGCTGTGCTGGTTAAGCAAAAGAGTTTTAGCTGTAGCTTTGCATTACTCATTACCCATCTGCAAATGAACTTAATTCAACTTCATTAAGGTGTAACAAATGGTAGGAGTGAGTGCTCAAGATTATTTACAGCAATTAAATCTAAAATCTGTAATACTGCAAGTCAGTATTTATCTTAACACAGTACAGAATCTGTGGAGGCGGAAATGCCATCACCATGAAACATGGAGATTCCTGAAGGTTTGCCAGGCTGGCATGGCGTTGAAGGTAGCTTGGAGTGCAGCGTTCTGCCAAATTCTGCTTTTGAGAGTTCAGGGACAGAGCTTGTGATTCTGGTTGTATAATGAAAGTAGAGGACATTTCAGTCTTCTGGGAGGAGTATCTTTATTAAATAACATTGTTTAATGACACAGGATTACCTATAAATACTCTTAATAGCAACACAACACAAATTTAATATGTGTATACTAGTGCTAATCCAGTCCTTAAACTTGCATTGGATTCTAGTTTAGATATTTGTTACAGTTGTCTGATGCAGACTTTCTTTTTTTTAATCTCAGTTGGTGGTGCCATACCATTACTTTCTAAAGAACCTGCTACAGCCACAAAAAGTCACCGGTTAAACCAAGGAAAGATGCCTCATAACCCTTTGGATTCCAGCGCTCCTTTGGTAAAGAAAGGGAAACAGAGAGAAGTCCCTAAAGCAAAGAGACCAACACCTCTTAAAAAGGTGTTCATACTTTTACCTTAAATAGTACAATATAGGCTAATTTAACTTCAGTATTACTCTGAGTCTGTTAAACCTTCTGGTATGGAGATCTGCATCTCGGCATCCACTTGTCTAAATTCAATTTTAGCTTTCCTTGCTTTAAGAAAGGGGAGAGGGGGCAGGGGAGAAGAGGGGAGTCTTGCTAAATAGCATATATGAATTCACCCAAAAGATATTTTCTCACTTAAATCACTTGATAGCTGAAGAAGCGCCACTACAAAAGTGTCCACACATCATTGGTACAGGGGGACATCCAAAGAAATGTTATTTGGTTTGGACAAGATAAGCTTATTTGCAGGACTGGGGAGAATGGATCAAAGCTAGTATTTAATGTTTCTGTGCTCTTCCAAGCCAGAACTTCAGCTGTTTCTGCAGCAACTAGTGTTAGATCCACCTGGTGATTTCTCTTATATCTTCCTTTTGCCCATTCACATTCCTTCCTGTCATGTCTTCTATACAGAGGATTTTGAGATGCCACTCCATGGCTAGGTCACTTTTTGGTCTAGAACGATTCTTACAGAGCTAGAGTGAAAGTAGTTTAGTGGTCATTCTGTGCTGCTTAATTGAATTTGAGAACTGTACAATATAAACAACATATAATAAACTTTGGAGGGTGATACTGATTATGGTTTTCTGGCTGTTCTGTCTTCATGCCATCTATTTTCCAAAGTAGGTTTGAGAAGACAAAGATTGCTTTGTCTGTGTAATATCTGTGTTCCGAGTATGGTAGGGAGCTTATTTTTGTTCTTTGTTCATCTTTGACAAATGCAAATGGAGAAATTTACTTCTGCAATTAGATTCTGTGGTGTAATTAATTACAAATTTTGCGTAGATTAGCTGAGCTAGTGGTCACATACACAGTAACTGCTTCTTAGCAGCTATGAAAGCAGAGAAGGAAGATGAGTTTCAGGAAACTGATTATTGCTTTCACTGATGGTAGCGCGCTTGGATCCAGCATATGTCCTGCTTTCCTTCCTTCCACGTACCATACGGCTTAGCTATCCATGGTAGTTTCTTCTTTTATTTTTCAACCAGTAAATTCAGAGACAGCGGTCTATTAGACTGACTCAAGATTTTTAACAGGGGAATAAGGAGAAGAGTAACTGTGGCTGTGTGTGGCTGTTCAGCCCCTTGCATGTTTGGCTGAATTGCTACCAAAGTAAAGAGGGAGACTTCTTCACCTGCTTCTCTGCATTGAAGCAATTCATGTCTTTTAGTTCTGCTCTTGTAGTTGATCCCTAGTAATTGTTTTCTCCACCCAGACGCTGGTAATCAAGGAAAAAGTCCTTTTCTGTGTAGATTTAGGGAATATCTTTCCTTCTTTTTATGTGCAAACTAAGAAAAAACCCAAATGTTATCAGCTTTGAATGATAGTGCCAAACTTCGTTATGAATGGTCTATATGTAAACATTTGGTAAGAGAAACTGCTTTGTTACCTATGTGACGTTGAATTGATTTGGGTTTTTTTTTTTAGATTATTCTGAAAGAAAGAGAACAACGAAAACAGCAACACCTGTTAGAACAGAGAGCAGTACCAAAAGATGAAGATAATATTTGTCAGTCTGCAGAAAATATTCCTGAAGATGAAACGCTTCCACAGGAGAGTCAAGCAGGTATCTTTCAAGAGAAAGCTATAATACAGTATGTAGTTGGAGATTTGAGAGTGAGCACACTAGTACTTTCAAACGTGTGTACCAAATACTGCCAAATGAAAATGGTTACTTGAGAATTTTCTAAGATTCAGCTTAGGCTTATCTAAAGTATAAAGTCTGCTAAAGCTGATAGTCGATGTAGTTGAGTATTTGGCATTCTGATTACTGTTCCACACTTCAGTGCCTCTTGGATTTATTGTATGTTGAAATGAGAGTCCCTGCATCTCTCTGGCCATCTGTTTAAAAAGAGGTACAATAATAAAAACTAAGAGATTAACAATGTGTGATCCATTCCCCTACTACCACAGACTATTGTAATAGTGAATACTTGACAAGTTAGTCTCTTCACAATGCTTTTTGGTCTGTCTTTTCATTGAAATATCTTTATTTACATGATAGCTGTTCCTGTAACACAAGTTGCTGAAGGGGTTGTGGAGAACACAGGGATCAAGGAATCTACAGAAGGTTCTATGACTTCAAAGCAACTAACCTCCAATCTTCCAAAAATCCATAGTAGGAATTTTAGAGAGTAAGTATTTATTGTATTGATGTCTGTTTTTTCACGGTACTACCAATGTGGCATTTTTCAAACAAGATAACTTCAGTTGCATTCTGTGCAACACTAATTGGAGTTTAGACTGAAGGTTCTAAATTTTTTTTCAGTTTTTCTGAAAAGCTGACACACAAACAAAGAAATTGTATCCACAGAAATAGTCCGTACATTGTTGTAATTCTCACTTCAAAATGCATGTTCCTTGAAGGAAAAAAAGATTGGAAATTTATTAGAGGCTAAGGAAGGAAAAGGAGCTGCTGTTAAATTAGAAGTACCTTATTTTAAATAAATAGTGTACCAGCCTAATATTTATGAAAAAGAGGAGTTGTCGTGGTTTAACTCCAGCTGGCAACTAAGCACCACACAGCTGCTCGCTCACTCCCCCCCAGTGGGACGGGGAAGATGCAAGCAAAGCAAAACAAGGAATTCATTCGCTACTTCCCATCAGCAGGCAGGTGTTCAGCCATATCCAGGAAAGCAGGGCTCCATCACGCCTAATGGTTACTTGGGAAGACAAATGCCATAACCCTCAATGTGGCCCCCTTCCTCCTTCTTCCCCCACCTTTATCTGCTGAGCATGATGTCGTATGGTGTGGGATATCCCTTTGGTCAGTTGGGGTCAGTTGTTCGAGCTGTGTCCCCTCCCAGCTTCTTGTGCACCCCCAGCCTGCTTGCTGGTGGGGTGGTGTGAGAAGCAGAAAAGGCCTTGACTCTGTGTAAGCACTGCTCAGCAATAACAGAAACATCCCTGTGTTATCAACACTGTTTTCAGCACAAATCCAAAACATAGCCCCATACTAGCTACTATGAAGAAAATTAACTCTATCCCAGCCAAAACGAGCACAGTAGTACACCTTCGTTATTTTTAGTGTGTACTTTGGTTTTCTGCTGCCTGACCAGATGGCAAAAATGTAAAGAATGTGACTAGCCAGATGACATTTTCATGTTATGGCTAGGCAGTGAAATAAAGGGAAGATTTATGGGTGGTTACTTGCAAACACCTTTAGTTTTGTTTAAACAGATGTGTATACATATTTCCTTATAAAAGAAGAAATAGTCATTACTATATGTGAAGAGGTCAGAGATCCAAGCCTGACTGTTTAGAACAGTTAGTTTAGATAAACAGTATTTTAACTTTTTGGTTTCCTCCCATAAAGGTACCACTGGCGTTTTTGCAGTTCATGTTCCAGTAAAGGTTAATACTTACACGGTCATTCTTTATCTTCCTGGTGCCATGTGTTAACTCTAATTTAACTTTTAATTGCATTAAAAATTACTTAATTTGTGTCTGTGCAACACCGTTTTACTGAAAACACAGTTTGGGTTGAATATGTACAGGGCCACTCAGTCCTAGCTATTATAGAATGTAGACCATTCAGCAAAGCTTAGAATATTTTGTGTCTGTAGATTAGATTTTCAGTGTTTTAGTAGATTTGTCTTTGAGACTTCATGACATCAACTGGAAATAATAAATAAAAACTCTTTTAACTTAAGTAAAATCTTGAGATAATTCTATCTCTAAGATCCGGGATAGATCTTGCATTCTCTTCTCATAATCTTAAGTGAATTTGCCACTTGGCATCTTTCTGTTGCCTATGCAGTTGAGATACCTTTGGTTTTTCCCTTTGAGACCCTTCTTTACTGAATGATTCTTTGTGTAAAAGATGGGGGAAAAACAATTTGGAACCCTGATCTTTCCCAGAGAGTACTAGAAGGGTGAAGTACCTCCATTTGTATCCTTGCCTTATGAACACCACAAGGCTGTAGTCTGATAAGTGAAATAGGATGAGAGACAGAAAATAAGAACCTAGGGAGGAGGAATTTGATCCAGATTTCCATCTTTGTTATAAGTTGCCTTGTATTTATAGAAATAAATCAGAATTTTATACTTCAGTTGCGGTACTTTGATTTATATAGGTCAAAATAAATGCCCTCAGAAAAATGCTTCAATAGAAAACATATGTACATATATATTTATTGGTAAAAAATACATTTTTATAGGTTTATTGTACATGTGTGTATGTATTTTTAGTATAGTTTAATAGGGGAGCCAGATACCACAAGTAACAAAACTTCCTGTAAGTTCTCAGCCACTGAAAAAAAATCTTAAGTAAATTTTTGTTTTCATATGTATAACAAGAGTGTTTGGAGTGGAAACAGAAAAAAAGACAAAGACATAGAATAGAAGGTAAACTGTTTATATTTTACTTATTTTATGTATTACATATTTGTGTTACATCTTCGTAATGTTAGGGTTTTTAACATTTGATTCTTTCTTCCAGTTATTGCAGTCAGGTACTTAGTAAAGAAGTTGATGGTTGTGTGACAGATCTCTTAAAAGAACTGGTTCGTTTCCAAGATCGCTTGTATCAGAAAGACCCAGTAAAGGCCAAGATAAAACGGAGGCTTGTTATGGGTCTTAGAGAAGTTTTGAAACATCTGAAGCTGAAAAAACTGAAGTGTGTTATCATCTCTCCTAACTGTGAAAAGATTCAGTAAAAGGGTAAATAAATTTTTTAAAAAATATATTTCTTTGATAAAACAAATGTAAAAAAGCAGACTCGGTATACTGGCAGCAGTATTATTATTGGAGGAACCTATTTGAGTAGTCTTTTAAATCCAGTCATATGAAGATGCCTTCCTTCTTCAGATTGTTTACTGCTGTGCAGCTGAAGCATGATCTGAGTCAAGACTGTCTGGGGTGGGGGAAGTTATCTGAAACTAGGATCTGTTTAGTTATCGATTTGCAGTGCAGCTGCACAAAAGATTGCACTGGCACAGCTGAGAAGAGACAAAGGCTACTGATGCCAGCTGTGCCACCACAAGAAGTCGTGCTGTATCAGCCTCTTTTAGGCCACAGATTGACAATAAGTTGTCAGTGATAGTTTGTTTAAAATTTGTTGTAATTATTGTCATTACTTTCCATTAACTTTTAAATAATTTCTTAGCAGCTGGGTCTTTTCTTAATACTAATTAGACTATACTATAACAAAATATGGAATAGTAGCAGTCTAAGGCTACTGCTAATTAAGAATGAGAAAAAAATGTCAAATTCCCCTTTAAAAATGGATATCTAATGCTATTATTGAGATCCATGTATTTTTTTCCTATAAATTCTTGTAGTTTGAAAATGCTCCTATAATCTTGGGGTATTTTTTGCCATCTTTTAACAGTACTGTCCTTTTATTTATAATCAGCTTGAACAGTGTCATTCTTTGCAAATTCTCCTGTCTGCTCCAGGTGGGTTGGATGAGACTCTACACAACATTATTGACTGCGCCTGTGAACAGAATATCCCCTTTGTTTTTGCCCTTAATCGCAAGGCCCTAGGCCGCTGTGTGAACAAAGCAGTGCCTGTGAGTGTGGTGGGAATTTTTAGCTATGATGGGGCTCAGGTAAGTTGAAATATGTAGGTTTATGTTTTTGTTTAGCTTTACTTTTTACCTCCAAGGGGAAAAAAAATGCTCTGACTTTAAGGGTTGGTTTGTTTGTTTGTTTTGCTTTTGCACACTTACACTTTCTATCCCAGGTCAGTGGCTTATATGAAAAATTGATTTTAGAAGTACAGCCACTCAGCACTGTTCAAAAAAGTAGTTTGGCCATCTCTTCCTGACATCCTCTCCATCTAGATCTCTTTCCAAAATTCTTTTTTCAGGAGAACTGATGTTTTTATAAATGCTTATAAATGGCTTGATTTTCATGTCTTTATACATACTTAGCTGCTCAACTTTTATATATGAACATATATGTTCTGAATAAGGAATATTCGTTACAGATTTTCATGGAGATGTTAAAAAATTACTATATGATTTAAGCTCTACTAATATTTTATATTTCCATAGGACCATTTTCATAGAATGGTACAACTGACAACAGAGGCCAGGAAGGCCTACAAAGATATGATAGCAGCTTTAGAGGAACAAGCTGAAGGAGGACTAAGAGAAACCCAACCCAGCATGTTAACCACTGAATATGAAAAAAATGGCTTATCAGAAACTGATAAAACATCTTCCAAGGACTCTGATGAGGATGTACCAAATTATAGTGAGTATTTACTGACTTGGTTTTGGTTCAGTTTTCATTCAAAAGTGTGCTTCAGTTCCACCATTTTCATTGAAACAAATGACACCTGATGCTTTTGTGGTTAATAGGGGGAGGGAGATTCTGCTTTTCTGTGATTTCTCCCCACCCCCCTAATTTTATAAACCTGAGGTTATCTCTTGCTGAGAAACTCTTAGAGAAAATTCCTCTCTGAAATCCACTGATGGCAGGCGGTACTCATTGCTTTGTCCATGGAGGTTTAACAGACCTCCTTATTATTTCTATTTGTTAAAAAAATCCTCTTAAGTTTTTTTCTAGAAGTGCATACTCTGTAACTATGGTGGACTTAAGTTTTGTATTGAAGCCTGTTTAAGATGCATCTTCCTGTCCAAAAGTGTTCATGTTTTGTAAAGGCCTTCCACTTCTAGAAACACATTCATCCAGCTCTGCTCATACGGTCACCAGACAACGACAGTTATCACAGATATGAGGCAACTTAAACCTTCTTTGAAAATTTGGAAAACTTAGGAGTTTTTTTTAAAGTTGGATCCACCTTCACAATTAGCCTTGCTTGAGTAGGGGGCTGGACACAAGGACCTCAATGGATCCTGTCACTCCTAAAGTGTTCTTTCATGCGTCACCTGATGTCGCGTGGTGTACACGCCGACATGCCCACGTGCCAACTTATCTCAGCACTTACTTTGAGGAGGAAGTAGAGAATCAGAGTGACTTTTCACTTTTAAGTTTTTCCTCAAGTATTATACAGTAACCTGTTTGTTGTTTGGTTTTGTTTTGTTTTTTTTTTTTCCCCTAATATTCCCTAGTTAAAATCTGGAAGAGAAAACTTGAAGAGGAGTATAACCCATATGCACTGGAACTGGAAAAGAGTGCAACTGCTGACATGGTGATAGTGAATTCAGAAGAGCATCAGTAAATCCAGATCCAATTCTATTGGGCTCTCAATTTATGTTTGTTTTTTTTTTTTTTTTTTGGACCCCTAGGATGCAGGTAGCAAAATAAAGTAATAAATATCTCAAGTCAGCTAAGTAAACTGTTCTGAATCCCTTTAAGCAAAATACACACTGGACTGGAGCACATGAGGCACTGGCTAATGCTTTTATGTTCTATGTATTTGGCTGATTACTGTAGCAGATGACAACAGCAAATTGTCTTAGCCCCGAACCACTTGAACTGGTTTGGCATACATTAATGGTTTTATGGACTAGCATTGATTTGTTAGCAATACAGTATACCAAAAGAACTTGCTAGAAAGATAATTTTATGTGGGAAGAGATTCCATGAGCTAGAAGGTTGGGGCTTGTGGGGAGCTACTTCTTATTTTTAACTCTTGTTTAAATAACGTCCAACTGTTTTTTGATTGTGGGTTTGCTTTTGTTTTTTTCTTCTAAATAGAAGGCTGGCATCAATGTCACTTTCTTCCAGTCAGCAAGAAATGAATTCTGGGCAGGCAGCTTGATTGAAACTAATTAAGGAAGGCCATGATGACTCAAGTTCCCAGTTAGCTCTTCTGTGTGATATTTTTGTTCTTCTGGGATCATACAGCAGGTGTAAAGCAGAGAGCATGGACTACAAAGGTCTGAAATCCCTGAAGTGAAAATGCTCTGTTTAGAAATTTTGTAAAGTTGATTAAGTGTACAATGATCATGTTTCTGCTGCTACTGAGACTAGTTTATCATAGGTCCTGCTTTGAAGTTATAGGATATTGAAGGACAGCAAAATGTGCGAGCCTGCTATCTTATCTGTACCTTCTCCATGCTGACTGACTCCTCATTCCTTCAGTTTGGGGTTGTGTTAGTGTATATATGTAAGAGTTTTGATCAATCTCAGTTTGTATCTAAGGTAGGGAAAATTTATAAGTCTTATACAAAATAAAATTTATATCTTACAGGAGATGAAATTTTGAAAACAAAGTGTGCTCATAATGGTGGTGGAGCACCTTAGTGGGAATGTCCTAGATAAATACTGTTGTTTACAAGTTGCAGACATAAGAGGACAAGCCTAAAGAAAGTAATTGGAGGATGCACCTGTAAATTGTCAGCTGTTCTGAAAGATGCTATAGATGCCATGTGCTGCTGCCAGCATCTCTGAAGTGTGTCTGTAAGTGCTTCACCACATTGACCATTTGTAGTGCAATACTTTGGAAAGTAGCTGCCTTGTGAAGTTAGAAGCGATACAAAAACTTTAACTAATTTTTAAATTCAAACAATTTTGTAGAATGTAAATTGTATAAAATCTGTTACAATATATTGATTCTATAAAGTATGGTTGTGACTTAAATAAATTCTTCTGATGGGTACTTAATGATACTTGAAATGCCAGCTTTGAGGAGGAACATTGATGAGGGAAGCCAGCCTTAAGCTGAAATGCACAGCTGGTCACTAGTTATAATGATGATCTTTTTGTATTAGTTTTTTCTAATCTTAAATGGAAATTGAGGGTGAAAGATTCCAGGGATGAAAGATGGTTTGGGCCAGCAGATATCCTTGATCCAGAGGTAAGTTGTGATTTATTCATACTTGTGCTACTTTGATATACATCTAAAACTCTGAAACTGCTAAACTTAGTCACCACATGGAATGGAGACCAGTTGGTGAAGATCACATTAACAGCTTCTTGGGTTTTTGGGCGTATTCTCTATTTTGTCTTACTGTAGAAGAGCTTGAAAAGTTACTTTGGAAACATTACAGGTTGTTTAAACTCTTAGAGAGTTATTTCCTGTTCTTATAATGTAGCAAAAAAATTCACTATAAGGGGTCACAGCTGTGTTCACTAATTCTGTTACACAGATGTTTTGTCACAAAGTTGAGCTAAACAAAAAATCTGGCAATCTTTTTGTTACTACTTGCAGTACTTTGCTGCAGAGACAGGGCAAAGCTCAGCTATGCTCATTTAAAACTCTGACCTCAATCTTACAAAGCCTTACTTTCCCACTCCACCATGGAACTAAACTTAAGTAAGTCTGCTCCAAATCTATTGAACAAATAGAGGAGGGACAATTCAAGAAGAGTCTTCTTATAGTTGTCTCTTAGCCATAAAAGATGTTGCAAGAGAAACACAATGGGGAAAAATTCCCTCTGAATGTTGGTGTCAGAAGTCTGCATCAGCATTCATTTATGATTGCCAAAGTGAAAAATAGGGAAAATGGTGTGTGTTTAAGAATTTTCACCCTGCATGTTTGTTTGACCACAAGGTGATCTGGTATTAAAAAAAAAAAAAAAAAAAAGAAAAAAGGGTCATTTAGAAACAATCTAATTTAAATCTTACCAGTTAGGGGATAACTTATCCCTAAGTATGAAGCTTTCTGCTATTGCTAGCAGTGGCTGTCCCCATGGACTCAAGCTGTAGTGATTCTTAGGTGGCATCTTACTTGCTTCCAGATTGTTGAAAAACATTGAGAAGACAAGACAGAAAACTTGACTTATGACTCAGACTTTTGTTTATTAGATGCAGAAGGACAAAACTCTGAACAGCAATGCAGTAAAACAATTTCACTGTGGATTAAGTAGGCCCTCACATTTCCAGTCTGCAGTTGTTCACTAGGAATATGTGAACTTGATGCAATTATAGTCTCAGAATTCATTTAACATAGAATTTTTTAAAGCTGCCACAGTTATCTCAAATATAGAAGAATAATTTGCAAAAACTAAAGAGTCTGCTTTAACTTGGGTGATTTGTAATCTATCTGTATTTTGAGCATTAGTCAGAAGTTCTTTATTTGGTACAGAAACTTTATTACCAAAGGAAATGTGTTTGAACGAATGAACTTACTGACACCAGAAGGGAGTGCTCTTCAAAACACTGCGAACAGTATAAGGGTAAACACATTAGAAGAAAATAAATGGGCCAGTTTAAGTGCTTTTACATAAATGTGATCCACATCTTATTATTAATCTCTAAATCATATGCCAAGATCCACAAGCCCAAAATTAACTGGTTTGCTTAATGAACTCAAAACAGAAGCCATACATCATATTACATTGTTTGCGCAGCACAAGTCTTACTGAGGCCACTTTTGTTCTTCATTAAGCTGAAAAAACTGGCATCGGAAAACCAGAGGTAGTTCCAGCATGGCATGGGCGGCCTCTCTTGTAGCATGTAACTTGGTTATTCTTCGGTGCAGTAAGTATATTCCTTTTCTACCTCAAGCTTCAGGTGATTCTCCTGAATATCAGTTTTAATGCCAGTACTAGCACTCGCAAATACCTCTTTGAATGCTCTGGTATTACAGTACCCAGTACTCTTAACTTGCATACATTTCTCCTTCTAGCCTGTTCATTCCTTTGTCCATTAGAGGCTGTTTTTCTTGTTGCAGCTCTCCTGAAGAAGTTCAGAATGATGTGTTAATACTGCTTTAAAATTAAAATGGGGTTTAAAGGTTGCCTATACTAAGTGTTCCACATCCAGAAGTTGTCAAAAGTTATCTTTGTTATAACTGTTGGAGAAAAGCATTAAAAGCTAAGTATGGACTATTTTTACAGGAAGGCCAGCTTTGATGGACGATACCATTTATGAAGTCCAGTAGTCTCTGCAATTCAATTAGTTTATAGATGTGATGAAATTAATCTACTACATTCAGTATACACAGACTTACTGTTTTGGGCAGGATGACAGCTACTGACTGATTAGCACTTGGTTAGTGAACTGAAGGAACAAGCTGACGTAACCATAATATGTCATAGATCGAGCAGATTTTACTGCTGAGAGGGTCAAGAATGATGACGTGTACAGGAACGCTAATCACTTTGTTACATAAATAGATTAGGTTGCAGATGTGTCATAGGCTCTTTATAAAATTGGGACTGTAGTGCATCATGTAGAAAGCACTGTAGGAGATATCTTTTCCAAAAATTCTTACCCACGTTTTCCTCCAGTTTTGCATCATTTTGTCATGCTCACTGATGGCACTTCTCCAGGTATCAAATTCTTTGGTCCATCCATCCTGACCAGCACTACCTGAGAATTGTACATGGGATGATTGCATAACTACATAACGATGCAGTAAGTTGATACCTATTCAGTTACAGTACTTCCTGTGGAGGATTGGGCTAGAAGAAACAAAAGCCACCATCTTGTCCTTCATTTTGCTTTACCTCCTCTCATGTTATTTGCAAGTCAGTTCTGTTCAAATGGTTGTGTCTCTTCCCCTCTGCAGCAAACTTGATATCCTCCAGCATAAACAGATTCAGTGCCTTTATCTGTGATTCAAGGTCTAAGAAATATAACCTACAAGTTAAGAGTTCACACCCATCTAAGAAGCACAGGAATGCTCCAGTTAGGTCTTACCATTCTTCTCCCCAGGCCTGGTATGATGCAGCTGCCTACGTCCAGTTTGTAATTTCCCCATTTTTCAGTAATGTTATAGTTATTCTTCATCCCATTGAGAACTTAAGAAGGGCTATTTCACTGCATTTTGATAAAACTCTAGTTCTAATTCTGCCAGTTTTTCTTGCAGAATGTAACACTACGGTGGTGACATACACAGATGTAATATTTTCTATTTATCCTTTGGGACACTAGCAACAGTATGTAAAGCTTTTGGAGCACACTGAAAGCCTCCCTGTGTTTCACATTTACAGTAGTTTCATAGAGATGCTCTTCATTCTGCTTCCAAGACAAGACTTCAAAGTAACTGGAGTGATGGGAAGACAACTTTTGTAACTCTTACTGCTTTTCTCTGTCACTGAAAAAAGAAGGGTTGAGCTGTTCTTGACAAATTCGTGTTTGTTTTTAACCAGCTAATTAAAAATAATTAACTTTTTCCTTCACCCTGCCAAGAAAATCCATACCATATCATCTTCATTGCTTCTGCTGTCTTTTTAAAGACTAATTCAGAGCTTCTCCAGGCCTGGGTAAATTCTCAAAAGCTAGTTGGAAATGATGCTGAAGTTGCATCAGCCAGTTTTGGGTACCTGA